GGTGTCAATGGTGGCGTGGGCTTAGTGCCGTGCATGGCGCGGGCATTGAGAAGATCACGTTGATAGCCAAAATAATGATGAAACCATTGTCGGCATTGCAATATTGGACAATATTAACCCCAGTGCTGGTTATGCTGACGTAACTCGACGGTATTCATGTAGATCTTACATGAATTGTTCGAATGATGACACAATCATGTACATGTATGGTAATAAACAGCCTCTGTCAGAACAAAAATGGGATGCCTGCTGCAGTCCTCATCCAAAGCGTACAAAATTGTCATCAGGCCCTCGCTACTAGGCCACAGTACGCATGGTACGTGATTTGACACCTATTAAATAGGACGCAGAAGACTGATATGAGTCAACACGAAACGACGCAAACTGATGAAAACTGGGGCCCGGTGTTGGTGTATCGGGGACGTCATACCGACTTGGAAGTTGTTGCACGGGCTGAAAACACCACCCCCGGGATGGATGCACGACCGGCAGTCCATGTCGCCGCATCGCCATCACTGGCATCAGTTCCATCGCTACTACTACTACTTACTAGCACTGTTTACAGGCTCACTGCTTGTTGATACACACCAGCAAACAGTGGAGTTGACGGGGAATCTAGGTACAGCTTACAGATGACGGTAGTGTACCATGGTGTGTGGTTATGGGTACACTGTACAACATAGGAAACGGCAGGTCTATTGTCTAAGTTACCGTCCCAGTCGAGGTTATGTGTTGCTGGGCACTTGTCGACATCGGCAGCCGCATTACAGTTCGCGATACAAAGGGACGCCGCTTGAGCGCGGGCGGTTGGATGGTGGCTGCTTGGGCACATCGTACTTGACTGTGTACATGTGTCATCCGTCCATCTAAAACAATGTTCAGACGTGATCTCCAGTTCTGGGGCAACAAACGTCCTTGCCTCTAGTCGAACACCAGGTGTAGTCATTGTCGTTCATGTTGTTTTGTGGGTGTCTAGGATAATGCCCCGGTTGTACAAGGGCACCAGGCCCATGCAACCATGCACATGTACACGGTTGTATTCTATGGCTGGAACCTGTGCTACATTGGCAGCAGTTCTACCTAACGTCCCAAGCAACTAGTTAATTAGATCCGCACCCGAACTACCCCTCTCTCTCCCAGCATTGATAGCCAGTAGCTAGGCAGCAAGTAGCCTATCCATACCCCCTACAGATGACTGATATCCTAGGACGCCTGGGTTAGCAAGCTGTGCATGCCTAGCGCCAGACAACTAAGTTGCTTCTTGCAGCCAGGGAATGATGAAGATGCAATGATTGTGTGTACACGTCATGTTGGCCTGTGGATAGTCTGCATGTAGCGTTGATCACTCAAGCCTATGCTGTATTCACTCCTGACCATTTTAGATGCCTACATGGCTCAACGACGATACGCAGGTAGTTCATACCCTCCATTCGCCTGCTGTCTCACGTTGTGGTGTGGGCATGTGGGGACAAATGGTCGCTTGAACAAGATCGCTCGTGCTATGTATGACACGCTTCGCATCATATTCACTTTGTTCTTCGATAATCTACAGTGCACACGTACATGTATGTCCAGGTCGCTTGAAGTCAGCATTCGCATCGAGTACAAGTACATGAATTTTGTGAATGTTTAATGAAGGGTTTATTGAAGAGTTTAATGAAGGGTTTAATGAAGGACGCAGACACTGCGCTCCTCATAATCAGGTGCGTGACGGCGGCACGCTGTGGTAGTCCAGACCCTGACCACATAACGAGTTACGCACACATAGTGCAGAGGCAATATGCTTTGGCACACATAGTACATTTGTACAAACTCGTGTAGTCTTACTGCAAGGTACTGCCGCACTATAATAATATATGACCGCACATGTATTACACTGGATGCCATACACCACCACCCGCTGCTTCCTATCAGTGCATTCTTATTTCCATGTAGCCTATGAATACGAATAGTGCATGGAATGTTGACAAACTATTACTTGAACGAGTGACACCCGAACCGAAATACTAAAGTTCACAGTTTGCCCTCCCGGGAAGAGAGCAAACACTATTCCATTATAATACAGTACAATGGAGGTTAATGATTGCTACACAATTGTCTCATGTACTCAGTACTCGTCTATCGACGTGTCCCCATTGACACTGTGCACAAGTCACTTACTGCGTGCCTTCGCCTTTCACTTCTACTCCCATTATGTCGGTTTTAGTGACTTGGATCACTTCCTGTCAAGAGCCGGTCCTTGAAAAGCCGTGACACGCACTCGTGCACCCTTGTGGCCAGTGATCTTGGTGAACTATCTGCTAAAGCGCTTCTTCTTCAGGATGTCCGTGAGCACTTGACACCCGCCACCAGGGTAACACTCAAGCAGGATACTGGGGATCTTGCATCACTCGTAGCTGGACTCCGTCCACTTGAAGCTGAACTGGAAGCACTTAGCCTTTGCGACCCCATGCAATTCACCGCTTGAGGAGTCGGAGAAGGAGAGGGATAACGCTGGATCAAGATGGCCGATGGGACACATGGTACAATGTACATGTACATGTTGTTTGCTCTACTTGAAGTAATACCATACAAAATATTAATAATATTTACACGTGCAGGTACGAGAGGGCTAATATGACCACATGTAGAGACATCGCGACTGGAGTTCTAGCATTGTAGACCGCCGGCTTCGAGGCATTCTTACGAGTAGGGCCACAATGGAAGGGCTCGTGTAAATTGGTTTACTGGCAGGTAATAGACTCTGTAATTGCATGATACGATTGGAAAAGTACAAGTGCTGGGGCTCCGACATGTACTCGCCACCATTATCAGTGGGTTCAGCTTCAATCACATACTAGTAATGCATGCTGGGACTGACTCGAGAGACGTCTATTCTCAAGATCTCCAGGGTCCAGAGGCACTGAGCCCTACACTCAGCTCAGCGGGGTACATGTTCACATACACGTGACCAGCCTGCGCACCACCCAGCACTGAGTCCTAGGCTATACTAATAATTGTGAACAATTATCACAATGGTGGGTGAGTCATTGAGAAACTAGCCCCACAGTCACAGTTGATCCCAAGCGCTCCTGGACAATTGCGGAATGTGACACTGGATGTCGCTGGACGAAGATCAGCAGGTTCCAAATCAGCTGATGAAAACGTCCTCTAGACGGAAGCGGCGTGAGACCGTCTACATGTGCGTCGCAGTAATTACATTCTACACGCTGTTCTGTCCCAGGAGGCTAGAATGTACGGCGTAGTCAGGAGAAGTACGTTCCCAGCGACGCCTTTGTCAACACTTATACAACACCATTAACACGATTGTGTGTTTAAACACATACATGTAATTGTATATCTGTATGTCACATTGGATGTGCCGGAATTACTGCATCCTACAGGAGTCAGTGGAAGCATCCAGCCTTTGGAAATCGTGGCAATGGTCATCCTTCTTATTAAGATCTTGCATATTGGTTGTCTAGGGAGTGGTGTTATTTAGACAGAGCCACCCCCGGGTCTGGGCCTTCTTACAGGGTAACCTATACGACGCGACAAAGTAAATGGATGAGAATCATCCTCTCGATCTCTCCTGGCATCCACCCTCGTAAAGTTAGTGTAATGATAAGAAATGCTGCTGAAGTGTTGCTGCATGGTAAGCTCCTCTGAGGGTGATCGCTATGTTGCTGGATGAAGCAAGTCACTGCCTCATTAACCAGTTGCTTACAAAGATCACGTTTTATGTACATCTTGCATACAGCGCACGTGAGGCGTCAACAGAAGATATCTGGTTTCGCCGATCGCAGGGAAGATTTCAATGTTTCATCTGCACAGGTCTGCACGCATCGGCCCCGAACGATCGAAGCGGAGAGGTCGATTCGCCTCGCTTGCATCCTGGCATCCTAGGATAGACGAAAGTAGACTGCTGTCATTCGTTGACCAGCGACCACGACAGTCCTCGCCATTTCCTCCCTGTTTAGCCACAGGCACAAACTGAGATTGCTAGCTACACTGGGATGATGAGACTTGAGAGCGTGTCCTTGTAGTGACTTCTTCGTCGTTACCGCAACTTCATACGTCTTGTAATGCAATCACCAAAGCATCGGCCGGGTTAGCAGTACCTCACCAAGGTCAGCTATGTCATTCGTCGGGTAACACTTGGTCAGGTTCAGCCGATCCCAAGATGCGAGAGGTTAAAGCTCCTTGGGCATAGTGCACCAGGCAGGGTCAACGAGGAACTGGAGGGTTTGGACCCACGAACGATGCGAAAGACGAAAAAAGGACGTTCGGAACAGAAACGAATAACGTTAAACTCGGAAGGAGAGCCAAGGATTAAAATTAAAAAAAGAGATCGTTCACCTTCCTCAATTTTAATGCATGTGATAATACAAATACGTCACAATTCCCAATATAACAGGGATGGATGTTGGTATAGCTAGATAGTGGTATGAATATGACCAAGTTCATATCTCTTTAATTGCTGTGTGTGAACCTGTAAACTCATTCGAGTCTGCTCTGCGATTGCATATTTCCGCGTGCCAGATTGAGCAACGATTCGAATTTTCCACTGCTCAGTGACACGACTTGTACAAAGAAGAAACTATTCCTTTCTTTCCAATTCGAAGAGAACAATGAAAGAGGATCATACGCACGGAGACAATGACACAGGAAACGACTAGTGAGGGCCCGGAGGGTTTCAGGGCTCAGTAGGGGCAGTCACGAGGAGGTTGGAGATCACTGCATGGTCTTGTTTGTTTTTCAGCAGCGCGTGCTAGAAGCAGCTGCAACGTGGTGGTTTGATGATCCTCTAAAATTGGACTGGTCGTTGGCATTTTTGATCCGACTAAGAAAGCTGAGGTTTCTACTACGGAAAAATAACACGAAGTCCAGTTTACCAAATAGTGCCTGGGTCCCTGCAGCAACACCAAGGAAACTAACTTACTTCTCGCCTAGCCCCTCTCGACATGCGATCAATCCAAAGCATATAGAAGACCAAGGCAGCAGCATCACACTCTACATGGTGACGGACGAGACCCATAGACATTGCACAAGAAACACACACAAAATATGTCGAACCACTGTAGGTGGTAGTCAAGGATCAACGCGAGGGAAATATTGTTGGTGTATCAAAAAGATATTCTGGGCTAACACAATAAAATAACCTTGACCATAATGAAATGAAGGAGAGTTTGACAAATATTGAGCAAATCTAGACACGAACATACAACACCAAGTATTTTTTGTTTTTGTAAAAAGGCGGCAAGGGCACAATAGTGAGAGTTGAGAATCGCATTCAAGAGAACCAGCTGAGTCGACATTACATATCTCAAAGGCTTTAAATAAAGCTTTAGTGGTATGTTAACTCAGCTGGTTCTATGTAATCACAGAGCCCATAGTCGCCTGTATGTACTGAATGTTTCCTAAAATGTGTTTTTTGTGTGGATCACTAGTTCCTTGTGAGTCAAGCAGGAGGAGAAGGATATCTTGTTAAGTTCCTGTTGTCTGACGGCGGATTTCTAGGAGGATGGAGACGGCGGATGGCCAAGTGGCCGTGTCTCGCAGGCTTTGTGCTATGACGGTTTAGCATACTGGAATGTCGGGCTAGCTTGTTGTGGATGCTGCGGTATGATGAATAGCTGCTGAGGGTTAGCAACAGATGGTTGATACCTTGGCTCTGTGCCTAGGTGGAAAGCTTGCAAATGCGGGGTTTGTTGAACCGGACCAGCCTGTATTCCACCATGCGGCTGCACAATGACTTGCTGCCAGGATGGTGACATGGCCAATGGTGCCCCTGGCGTCATTGGCACTGCCTGCTGAATTGGGTGGCCGGGCGCAAGGTGAAACATCTGCGGTGCTGCTGCTGCTGCTGCCGGTGCTGCTGGTGCTCCTGCTGATGTGTGACCTGAAGTCTGCGCTTGCAACAGGGTAGACTCATAGGGGCTGGTGGCCGGATACGGCATGGAGACTGGAACGCTGCCGAGTGGAGAGGCACCGCTGGGAACTAGAAGAATGGTTGGGTGCGAAGGTATTGACGTGACCGGAACTGGGTGCCTAATGGCTGTGGAAACGCTAGTCACTGCCAGCACACCGCCGAGTGGAGTGCTGCTGCCAGCGCTTGGTGACGTAAAGCCGGTATCGACACGAGCAGGCGCGGGTAGCAATGGTGTGACAGTGCGCACACTGTCATCGGATGCACCGGCAGCCAGTGATGGTACTCGCTGTGCAAGGGCAGGTTGAGATGCTGTAATGAGGCAAACATGACACATATCAGAAAGTCAAAGACAAGAATGGGTACCAATTCCAGGCTCTCAGCCAGTGGTACGAAGTACATGTATGTGCTACTTGAACTGTTCACCTTGTGAGTTGAACATTGCTGTTTTACAATAATACTCTGTATCTCACAAATGCCAGTTAACATAAAATTAAATCAGGCATCAAGTTGCTCTAGAAAGGTCTCTGGAGAACGCACACAGCCGATCTCAGCTAACCAACTGCCATGCCATAGCACACACACACAGCACATGAGAAAGGCAGTCTACAGCAAAGTTATTCCCTGTACTACTATCCAACGGGTGAAAAGTGCTTTCGGAGTAATGTTGGGAAGACGTCCCCTGGCTCAGTCTTACCAGGTATTGCCGGTCTCTGGTCATACAACGGCCGTCCGCTTGGCGTGCGCTGAGCAAGCAGGGCGGTGAGCTGAGAGCTGCAGCTACTGGACAGGTCTGGGACGCTGGTGCTACCACGCCTTAGGCTTAGGCTCGACGTAGCGTGCATGCCTGTTGCCTGCGTAGACGGGTGCCTGTGTCCCGAAGACGACGATGTGTGGGCTGAGTCCACTGACAGATTCCTACTGGAGGCTGCAGACATGGTGTGAACAGTCTCCTCGTGATAGTCATCAGCGAATGCATCATCAGATGAGCTAGATGTTACATTCATGTCCGGGGCTGAGGATGCCCGAGGAGAAAGTTCTCTGGACTCCCGTTTCATTCTAGGAACAATCCGTCGGCGAGCATTCGTAAACCTGACAAGAAGAAAAAGGAGAATGGGGTTTGATTAATTTTCTGCAAAGTAGGCTTACGCCATGTCCACTTGATACTTTAGGGTGGTGCAGTCAGCCATCTGATGGACAATTTACTGTTAGCGTGGTGGTGGTGGTGGTGGTGGTGGTGGTGGTGGTGGTGGTGGTGGTGGTGGTGGTGGTGGTGGTGGTGGTGGTGGTGGTGGCGGCGGGGATGTGCACTGCTGAAGACGTTTGAAACTGAAATTCGTAACACAGTGCATTTGTATTGTTTCACAAGGTGCCTAGGGAAAAGAGTGGTATAGTCTTACTGTAGGTACTTGCATTCCAAGGAAGTGCACCTATTACCACTGAGAAAAACTGCACTGCACTGACGTTCAGGACACAGCCGTTAAGCAGCAACTGTTTCCAAACAGGTAGAACTGTTATGTACATGCAGTTGTTGTGTATTCTGTGCTCAGAGGGATTCTACACTCGGGGAAAATACAGCCCTGCTCACTCGCACGTCTGCAGTAAAGGTTTCACTGAACACATGATGTATACATGTACTGCATATACAGTAGTCAACCTCTGGTCAGATAGCTGTTTCCAGCTGTACTGCACATAAGAAGGCACAATCGCATACTGGTAGATGCACATGTGAACGTGCCTTATGCAGAAGCAGGCAAGATTCACTGTCGGTTCGCCTTACCAGTATTTCAGCTGCTTCTTTGACACGAGGGCCATCTCCCGTAGCCGTTGTTTCTCTGCTTTCGTTGGGAAAGGGTGCTGAATACAGGGACAAGAGGTAAGAGAATGATTCGCGTTACGGTTTTTTGATTCAACTTCATCTTGGAAGTAGGAATCATCCTGCTTCTTGTGAAAACTTAACGGTACTTAATTGTGCTTAGTTTCATGCATAGGAAGTGCCACTGAAATAGTAATTATGATCTATTCTGTGGGGGTGGCGGATGTTTCCCAGTGATTTGATAAAGGTGCATGGAGGCAACAAAAGCAGACACTAACGCTTGACCCGAAGAATAGCGGTTGAAAGTGGACAACCGGCTTTGATGCACTCGGCGGTGCATTTGCGAAGGAAAAGTCAGTTTGGTCGCCATCCGTCTAGGTAATCCTCCTTGCAGCTTTCACGCCCTATTTGCAGATTGAGTGATGGGTGGCAATTTGTTAAAGCTATGGGTTACCTGCTTGAGGGGACTTCAAAGTATGATGAGACAATATTTGTGTGACTGATAACGTTATGCTACACGCCACACAGCTTGCCTAGTGCACTGCCAGGGAATGTAGGTGGAGAGTTGATGATCCTCTTTGTTACTCGGGAGATATGGTGACAGGCGCAGGTCATTGCCCTTCAGCACGGCAAGGTCACATACAAGCATGCATGCTAGCATCCCCCCCGAGTTGCCTCACTAGCTGAGCAGCGAAGTGCTTTTCAGGTTCAGCCGGCAACATCGGCATGGTGAGGATGGCCTATTAAGGCACCACTGCTAACTGCACGACTGATGGATCTCAGGCCCACACTCACCACAGTCACCACACTCACCACAGTCACAGCAGTAACAACAGCCATCCCAGTCACCACTGTGACAACAGGCCTAAGAGTGCAGTGAAGCAAGGCAAGTCAACTAAGCCTGGTTTCCTCACTTTCTAAAGCTCCCTTTCGTTCATTGAACTCTTGCATGCTTGTACCACACTCTGTTCATGTGTACAATGATGCAGCTGCAAAGGGGCATATTGCTATCATCCATGGACAAACACTACCCACTTCTATCATATGTTTTCTTGCATGCGAAAGGCACAGATTCTCCAACTGAACACTGTTGGAGAAAGTTGTCATGGAGCATGTAGATGGCTTCCACCTTCAAGGTCAGACCCATGATGCCATGATGCTATGATGCCATGATGCTTTCAGACCCATGTGATGCCACTGCATCTGCTGCATTACAATTATGCTGAGAAGGAGCCTGGGATGGTGTCGTGAGGAGTTCTAGTTGTGCCAGTAGTATTTTTAAACATATTGTATCCGCAGTACATTCCTGCTACTGCTGCCTTCTGCCACGTGCCAGCACAATTTTCAATAAGAATGCCCATCCCACAAGACCTATACTTCTATTCCAATACATTGTGGACCTCTAGTGTACACAAATGTAGAGTGAGCTGGGGCTGAGTGTTGGGGGATATTGTCACCAAATAGGCAATGGCTGCTGGCTTCATTCACCAACTTGGCATTGACCCCCACAATGCAATGTCAATTATTTCTATAGATAGCTCACTACTACATCTTAGACTTGTAGTTAGTGGCCAGGCCATGACTGCATCTTAGAGCCAGGGTATGCCTGCATCTTGGCAAGATCAGGGATCGGCTACAAGTACATTTTACACTAGAGGCCAGGGCATGACTGCACATAGTCCTTATTGGAAGTGCAAACAACTACTGATTAGAGCCATCAAGACAAATTGAACTGCTGTGGCTTCATTCTTGGGCAGCACAATGGAGAGGAAGTACCCTCTATTCTAGCCCAGTACATGAACTGTTTCATACTGCTGACACAGAAGGGAAGGGAATTGCTCATTCCTGTCTTGCCCCCAATGGCCAGGCATGTTGCAAGTAACCCCAGGCAATTTCAAGTGAGATATTTTCTACAAAGGTAGGGCTAGAGAGCTGACACATCCATGTAGCTCACAGCAAACCAGCAGGAAGCATTAACCACGACCAGAATGAAGTGAAAAAGAAGAAAACAACGGTTACGGTTCTTGAAACAAGGTATCACACAAGCTCGGAGCTTGTCAGACGAAACTTACGTCTAAATGGTCCCTCAGCCAGTCCTTGAGGATTTTCGTTGACTGCTCAGGTAGTACCATTCTCTTGCGCAGGAACATCAAGTCTTCGGTTTTCGGCTCCATTCTGGTACCTGGAGTGGATACAAGGACTGAGTTGAACTCCTGGCAATTCACAAAGGCACTGGGAGCTGCATGATGCGCATAGGTTGCGACTTGAGCAAATCTCACCTGATCAATATTTTGTAGTGTGCTATAATGGTTGTTAGTATCAGCATCGTACGGAAAGTACATCGTTGTCACAGGCAAGTCTTCCTTCAAAGATGTTTTACTTTGCAACTCACTCCTCAAACTAACGGATACGTGTTTTCAAAGTATTACAGGTAACGCCTGCGTTGTTTCGGCTGCGCTTTGATTGCATTGAGATAGGCATAAATGTGGAGTGCAATTCCGTAGCTCAAGACCAGGGCCAACTGGGTGTACAGAGTGAAACGAACACAAATTTGTATAGATTCGGGATTACATCCGATCCGAGGCGCTAATCACGATTCCGCTAGCAGCACAGTTCAAGACTGAATTTGTCCTTTGAACTCTTCCGAACAGGCATCACATCTTGGTAATATTGTTTTTACTTACCGGCATCTCACCCCCTCCACCCTGGGCCAGGAGCCGAGATTTACGACTGGCAGTAGACACTGCTCTGAGAACTCGCGCAACGTCTGATGGCTAGCAATACTATAATTATTGGAGTCAACTAATATTAGCAGCTTTCTGCTGGCATTATAAACGGGTGCAAGAAGCCAGTTGTCAGGGGAATCGCTATCTAGGAGAAGCTACAAGCAGGGTCCCCCACATCGGAGAAGCTATTCTAACTAATTACTTAGGAAAGTAGTACCTATGCAAGGAGTTAGACTTGTCTCGTCTTGCCACAAGTTTCAGCTCACGTCCTTCAATGTTCTGTGGATAGAGTGATGCTAGTACTACTAGTACTACTAATACTAATACTGTAATAGGTCTTCAATGGAGAGATTTAGGTTCGAGCACCTTTCCACGACCTGCCCGCGCAATAGACTGGATTCTAACGAAGGTGCAGTTTGAGGAAATATGCAGAGTCCAGGCCAGATAGTGGGGTTTACGTTTGGGTGGTCGTAGGTGAAACAAGCTGACACTTCCGATCTACCGATGGTGATCGCGGCTTTCCAGCAGTGGGTATCTGTCAATGTGGCACCGCTCCTACTGTCTGCATGTATGTAGGCATGGAGATCAAGCCGTTTGAGAGAAAGTCATCGGGCATGCAGAAGTCGCGGTGCGCCAGCATCCCAAGCAGCAGCACGATCGCGAGAGCACGAGTTCTGAAGCAGCGATGGAAACTGTACTATCTATAGTGCGTTAGACGCCGGCCTCCTCGTCTGAGGTTGTCAGCGGTTGAACCCTTGACCCCGATTTTGAAGCCGTCTCGATAGCACTAGTACTAGTAGTAGTAGTAGCAGCAGGCTGGATATGTAGTGGAAAGGCTAGGCGCAGAAGTGTTCCGTGTCCACTGCATGCAGCGAGTGCAGGCTTTGATCAACACTCCTCTCCATTACCAAATCTACTAGTAAGTAGTTATCCACTATTAATGACTAGCTGTGATATTGAGTGCTGAATGTGACCTTTTACATGACAGCAGGAGAACGATAAACTAGTAGTAGTGGCCCTGCCGATATGCTCACGAACTTCAGGTTGCTTAGACTGGTTGGATGATGGATTCGATTCCGTTGCAACGAACAAGGACCGAGCGTCCAACAATGAAGGCGCTGGAGAATATTAGTACGTGACCTGTAGCCAAAGACGCGCAGGATTCAACTGAGCTCCGCTGTATGAATTCTGGCGTCTTATTATAAGGTGCCCGAGCAACGCTGAGGGGAAAAGCTGGTGCAGGCATCTATCATACTTCTTCAAGCTAGTAAAGGATTAAGCTGAAATTCGTACAAGGCCACACCTCGCACGCTCCTCACGGGATCGTCAGCGCCTATTCTTTGGAAAGCATCTCACAAGAATTGCTGTGAAATATTATGCGCCCTTATAGATTGCGAATTAAGATTTCTCTAAAGCGCATTGTACATGATCTAAGAGGGTTCAACTACGCTAAGTCCTGACGAAACATTCAGCACCAGATTACTTATACCCGGTTCACTGCTGCCCGGCTAGTGCCAAAAGTAGTAGATCTACTGGAGTGAAGCTGATGCTGCCATGCCTTCTTCTAGTAGAACTATAATGTACTGTACTTTATTATGTGAGGCTTGACGTGTATTTTGATGCTGGCTCAGGGACATGACCGTCAGACCATACTCTGCCCATGATGACCAAGCCGCTTCTCCTGCTCGCCTGGTCCCTGAGCTATCGCTGGATGATCTACAGCAAGTATCGGACGATCCATCACCCTAGCACCATGCTTAATAGCAGCCTGATGGTCTGGCAACCTAGTGGATTTGTCAGTTCCCAGCCCATGGCCGAGATAGAAAGGTAGATCTACTCACCTCCCCCCCCCCCCCTCTCACTCTCTCTCTTCTCACCCGCCCTCTTTCAAAGCCATGCTACACTAGAGATTCGTTTTAAAACTGAAGCACTGGGCTGAATCGTCATCGGAATTCCGTACAGCCAGCATAGTACTATGAGCGACAGTGGCAGCAGCACTGGTCGTATCTGCATAGTACATACAGATGCCTAGCCGGATGGGCTAGAATAATTCAGCTTGTCACTTCATACTAGGCAATCTACTTACTCAGCTGGGGATCAAGGTACAAGTTGGCAATTGTTCTTGTAGAAGGTGTCGAGACACAAGAAAGACAATAGACAATTGGTGTGCCTGTAGGGGCAGCGACGTCCAATGACTAAAGCCGAGCTGCCCTGCTATTGCCAAATGTCGCAAGTTCTTCGGATTCTTCGCTTTCTTCGGCGGTAGAATTCCCAATAACCTGGAAATGGGTTTCAGCAATCATACCCACTGTATTTCGATAGCTGGGCGACCTCTGCACATTGAAATAATTATTACACGCGATCCCTTGCTTGCAATCAGAACTTCAGGGCTAACGCTAAAAGTAATCGCGTTCAAGAACCCGCGTACGTCAAGCCCTGGTCTGACTTTGTTACCAGCTAGCTAGTCGTATAATACTATGGGGATCTTGACAGGGAAAGTAAAAAAATTGGTTCTGACTGTTTTCACAACCTGCTCCAGAACACCTCCGAGCATCTATTTTGCAATGCTTGCAAAATCGTCTAAACGGGGTCCCATCCTTGAAGATTCCTACGAAAGTTGAGATTACCTGCAGGATAGCCAAGCAAAGGGTCGGGGCTGAGATGGCAAGTTAACGGCTGTCTGTCACAAATCATACCTATCATAAACTTACTTTGTAAACCAGCAACCTGACTGGAGCTTGCCGCATTCAGTTCAGGGTCATGCTGGCCATTGTACCTCAGTTTCGGCCCTACTGGTTACCTGGGATTTCAGTGAGCGCAGCCGCAGCACACGTTTAGGTGTGTGCACCCGCCACACTGCTGAATGGTCAGACACATTCCTGGAGGTGAGTTTCAGTGACCGACTTGTGAAGATGTCCTACTCAGTCTATTGACGCTGGCTAGCTGGGTGAGTTAGTCTAACTGTCGGCATCGACCTGTGAATAGAGCATGACGAATTGCCATGGGTGATCTTGAAAGCTTGCCTGTTTGATCCTGCCTAGCGGGGACCCTACTTGTAGTAATAAGCGTTAGGTGCAGAAATTAGTTGGTTCTGCCACTCTTTCTCTCCTTCCTTTCCCACTTGAGCTCTGTATAGTCTGGAGGCTTTCTAATGTGGCAGTAAGCAAGGTGAACAACATAATAAGGTGTTTGAACTGCCCTAGTTAATTCACACATCTTTAAGAGGTATTGTCTCCGGGAGAGGTGATGTTATTAGGTTCATGTGTTCGTTGGACGTTTTGGGCTTCATAGTGGCGTCATGCGTGCCTAAATTATGATGGTTTGGGGATGCACGAGAGTTACAAATACAAGCGAGAAGGTATGTTTCTGGGGCAGGACCTTGGCCTTGTCGGTGTCAGGGTACGACACCTTCCTCTTCAGCCACTTGCACAACGACACCATGCTGCTGAACTTACGTTGAAGCCATCCCAGAAACGTGTTAGTGTGTGCCCAATGGCATGATCAACTGCTACCCAGCTGTTACGAAGGATTAACAGGACAAATAGGCGATCACCAAGTGTAATAATTAAGATATTGTTATTTTTTTTGCTTTTCCACAAATTAACACAAACCATTGCAGGGCACAAAGCAGGAGGCAGCAGCGATAGGACATATCACTAGTATGGAATGACAGGAGTGGGGAAAAGGCACGGGGACTGCTTTGCCGACAATAGGGTATCTGCTTCATTGCAACCCGGGCACTCCACAGAAACAAAAAGACTACAGAAACACGGGCAAGGCAAAGTGTACACGATATCAAAAGGTCACGGAGCGAATCAGGGAGGAGGGAAGAGAGTTAGAACATTTTGTGTAGTTCATAGCCTGTCCGTTTCTCACTCCCAGCGGGTAAGGCGTGTGTGTGTTGAGATAGTACTAGTAGTACATATACAGCTCAGGTGCTGGAAGCACTTTCGTCACGCTCACTGCTGGGATTTACGGATCGGCCTAACAACCAACAACTTCGCACCCAACATCATCTGCACAATTAAATGCGCCGGCAAAATGACTCTATCCACAGAGTGAAGAATACACGTGTACAAACTTACAAAGCAACGCTTGCGGACTGTACTGTAGACGGCGTAAACTGCAGCATGGGCCCTACTAGGCCACACACCCATGTACTACATGTACTTAATACTGAATAGATGGATATTCTCCATAGGTTTACTGGCTTGTGAAGACCTAGCCTACGTGTAGCTACGTTTTGCACGGCTCATGGCCTTCGGGAATCATAATGGTGAGCTGAAAATGAAGCAGCGAGCCGTAATGGAACATCAACGAAGCAGTGACGTTCAACAGCCAAAATTTCGTCACATCCGATTGTGGTACCCAACGTCTATTGCAAGCGGAGGCAAAGTTTGGGGGCGACTCCCTACTTTCCATGTTCATTGCTCCAAGACTCTCCTGGGCCGCAGGAAACGCACATGTATCGCCCAGTGGAGTCAGTATCATCACTTGTTACTGGGTTTTGGATTGTAGCGGACTAAGGCAGGCGCGAGAACTGTAAAGTGCAAACTGTAAAAGTGTGCATCAAAGAACGTTGTCATTCTTTCTTCTGGTGGCTGATTCCGGACTTTGCTGACAGTGATAGACGATTCGCCCCTAACAGTTGCACGTGTGGCCGTGATAACCATACTAACCCCGGGCCGACCGGATACGACTGACATACATGTACATGACTGTATGACTGTACATGTATACTTCAGCCCCTGGTCTTTGTCATGGTGAACGCATGGATGATGCCAGTCTTCAAGGCCACAATCATACCGTAGGCCGGTCACTTTAATCGTCCATTTTCTGCACAAATTCGCCGTCATATACTACTCCTAATGCAGCACGCACGCATGCACACACGTGGCAATTCACAGCCTTGAAATGTACTAGCCGTGCTAGCTACCGCTACACAGTCGCAACAACTATTATTTATGGAGTTGGTTTCGATTGCCTCATCATTTCAGATGCATTGTACATGTATGGAGTGACATGGTAAGCACTGCACTAGTTATACATTGTACAATCATAATTAATCTATACTAGTACTAGTAGTAGTAGATTTTCCCGCTGCATACAATTTTTTCCGGGGTAACGGCCTCTCTCTTTTTTCGTGTAAACTCAAACGCCTCTTTTACGGGCAAGATGAAGTCATGTAGATGTAGATGTAGACGTGAAAAATAGACATACATGTACCATGACAAGTAAAATGGAATATTATTCCAGTACAATACGTGGGGAAACTCCAAGAAATTCCACGTAAACAACTGCATACAAAGCATACATGTACATGTACATGAACAGGTACCTGTACAATGCATGTAATGATGTAGAATGGTGTCATTCGCACGACTTCTAGCTCCGTCCATGAAGGACCCGCTGTACCACTACAAGCATTTCATGCTAGTTGCAACTTCGCTTGCAAGTGTACAATCATGTACAATGAGAAGGTACAATCCTGTACATGTACAAGTAAGTTTTAACACTGAGGATAAATAGAACAATTCATGCCGACATAATGCCATGATACAACCATGGATGAAACAAAATATGTAACACAAATGATTCATGAACGTTTTTCTTCGATGGTTATCCGTAAACTAATTATTACTGTATCGATCGAATGGTGATTACAGGAGAACAAATCAATAATTATGCATTTCACATGTGTGATACATTGTCTGTGCTAAAACAATGCTGTAGCGTCATGATTTTTTAAAGGTTACAAAACTACAATATCACCAAGGGTGCAAGAGTGATTGCATTGTCGCAATGGTGTGAGAACAGTGTAAA